CAGGAGAACAAAGGCAACTGGATATCAAGCACTGAGTGTGGATTTAACAGGTGTTATGAAAGCAACAAAAGCAATCACACAGAAGGGACAGGATCAGAGCTATTATTGCTGTGTGTTTTGTTTTGTTTGAAACAGGGTCTCTGTGTAACTCTGACTGTCCTAGAACTCACTATGTAGACCAGGCTAGTCTCGAACTCACAGAGATCCACCTGTCTCTGCTTCTAAAATTAAAAGCTAAAGGTGTGACACCAGACCCGGCTTTGGAGCTATTGTTAAAACAAGTAAAGTCAGCCAGGAGTTGGTAGCACATGGCTTTAATCCCAGCATTCATGAGGCAGAGCAGGCAGATCCCTGCAAGTTCAAGGCCAGCCTGGTCTACATTAGTGATAAACTGCAGGGTCTATGGGGAGTGAGTGAAAGACCTGATAGGCCAGATTAGAAAGTAGCCAGCATTGGCTGCTAGACAGACAGTGCAGTGGGTAAAGTGCTTGTTATGCAAGTGTGAGGACATGAGTTTGCATCCCAGAACCCGGTAAAGCCGGACACAGAGACCTGCTTATAACCCAGTCCTGCCTCATGAGTCTTTGGAAGCTCATAAGCCAGACATCATCCTAGCATAAGCAGCAGTCAAACCAGCACCCTGTTACAAACAAGACAGAAGAGCAAAAACCAGCACCCAAGTTTGTCCTCTACCTCTACTTGTACACTATAGCACACATACATGCACAGGCACACATGCACACACTCAGACTACACACAATAAAATGAAGGCAACTAGCCTGTCATCTCTGCAGCATGGAGGACACATAAGTGCAGGCTCATGGGCGCTAGACCACCAAGATGGAAGCTAGGGGAGGGACTCTCAGAGCTACTCAAGTCAAGCACTCCAGCCTACTCAAAACCCACTTGGGGCACTGCAGGTGTAGATGTCATCCCAGGAACAATGACTCAGATAAGACTCCAGGTTTCTACAACATGCCAAGCAGCCTTCTTGCCAGTATTAGCTACTGCTGGGAATGAGTTAGCATCACCATTGCAGGAAAGAAGGGAAAGCATGCAAACACACAGAGACACACACATATACGCATGCATGCGCGCTCACACACACACACACACACCACTGTCCCTTTTCCAGTCTCTTGCAGAATCTGTGTGTGTCTGTGTGTGTGCGTGCGTGCGTGCGTGCGTGCGTGTGTGTGTGTGTGTGTGTGTGTGTGTGTGTGTGTGTGTGTGTGTGTGTTGGGGGGATGTTTAGTGTGGTGGCTCAGGTCTACAAGAGAGGAACAGCAGCAGAACAGAGTTCAGGCTGAACCATATAGCAAGATGCATCTCATAAAATATCAAACAAACAAACAAAACCCTCAAGTGCCGGAGAGGTGGCCCAGGGGTACAGTGCTTGCCTAGAGTGCATAAGGTACCATTCCAGCACCACTGAAAGAGAAAAAGAGAAAAGGCAATTATCTCAGTAGTTTATCATCCAAAAAGCCTTCAGGGAGAATTTTTCATTCATTTCCATATCAAAGCTCAGTATACCCGCATTTAATTCCATTACTCAATACACACCAGATCCTGTGGTTCCTACTAAAAGCAAAGGTAGCAGGCAGGCCAGGAACCAGCAGAGGGATCTGGTAGCTCAAAACCATTTGCTTTTCCCTGTTTTCCCACTGTCCCCGGCTTCTGTATTAGACACTGAATGGGTCCCAGAGAGTCAGCTACTGTAAATATGCCAGGGTCGGCAAACAAGGGGTGCATCCTTCCTGCCTCTTCTGGAACTCTCTGTTAATTTCCTACCAGCCCAGACAATTTCAAAGGTCTCATACCTCCTCAAAGTGTCCATCAGAAACCTAAATTTAGTTCATGCAAACCAGGCCAAGCAAGAACATTTAGATCTCACGGGCACTCAAAATAATGAGAACTTTCCAATCGCCATGTCATAAACCCCACTCCCCACATCAAAATGAATTGCGGTGTATAGGTTTTTCTTTTCTACATAAACTAGAATTGCCCCACCTTTGAAGCCAATGATGTCTAAATAAGCATTATTGGACATGCATCTCTTGGAGCATGACAGTGCCAGCTGTCTGTACCAGTTAGGAATTTTAGGGCATTACTGATATAACAGGACTTGAACCCAGTCACACAGTGGGTTGTATTTGAGTATGAAGGCAGCTGTGACAAGTGTCAGGGGGAACAGTGCCCCACCATATAAAGCCCTGCCTTCGAATCAGGAACAAACCATTCACTGGAAGTGGCAGATCAAAGTCCTGACCAGCAAGTGCCCTCTTCCAGCCACTGAAGGAGGGCAGTGTCCCTAGTTACTCCTCCCATACAGTCAACCCATGTTCTCACTAGAACATTTGCAAATTCTGAATGGTAGAAAGTGGTTCTTAAGGCTATTTCCATATGCAAACAACCCTGACTCCACAGGCCTAAATGGCTGTCCACATCTTCAGCCACTTGTTAGCAGTAAAGATGAGAAACACCCAGGCTCCCTCCAGGAAGACGTGGTGCTTGGAGGAACTTTTTCTTAGCTGCCACCTTCCCTAGCACTGAGAAGTCCACTTCACCTTTTGTTCTCTGCTCATCCGCTTGAGTCTGTACATCCTTTCGGTCTAAGTAGAGAAGTAAGAATAAGGAGAAATGATTCTGCTGCCTTGCTCATAAGACTGGTAGCAAAGTTACCCACTCCTTCCTAACTATGACAAACTCAAATAGGATTTTTGGATAATGCTGCCCTCATTTTGACACACCATCAAACATTCATTAAAACAAAACAAACAAAAATCCATCCATTTTCTACTAATTTTTTCACTACCATTTCAACACATTTCTTTGAATCCAAAAAAAAAAAAACATGGTTTGGGTAAGTTGGCTTTTAGATGATTCAAATTCTGGTTTTAAAAAAAAACGGCACAACTGAAGTCAGGAGTGGTGGCGCACGCCTTTAATCCCAGCGCTCAGGAGGCAGAAGCCGGCGGATCTCCGTGAGTTCCAGGACAGCCAGGATGGTTACACAGAGAAACTCGTTCTTGAAAAACAAAACAAACAAATAAAAAAGGTACAACTGTAAGATAAGAGGGCTACTTTTAAAATGTAAAACAAAGACACCCCTTCAGACCCAGTTAAGAAAATACAAATATTTACACCAGGAAAGCCCATGGTGTGAAGGCAGAGGGAGCACTGGGAACAAGTTGTGGAGACCCTGACATCTTATTAACTTGTGGGGGCTTAAGTGTGGTAGAGAAATTAGAGAACAATGAGGGAAATGATTTCAAAGCCAGTCCACTCCAACCCAGCAGCATTCTTAACACAGCTTTATAAGGCTGAGATGACCAGGAAGGCGGCCACTCTGACCTACAAGTGTAAAAGCAGCGTTCTACCATAATTTATTTATGATACAAAAGTGTTACCAGATCAGTCTATTTTGGAATTAAAGATCCAACTGTCTCCACTTGGTTGGGATGGTCTGTTTGGGCAACAACTTCCACACTTGACAGTGACTGACATGACAATTCCCATGTGATGTTACCCTGGGCTCCCCTTGCATTCCATCTGATACAGAAAATCTGCCCACAGATCTGACTCCTTAGTGGAACCCATCCAACTCATTCAGAGACTAGACCTGGAACACAAATGTTACTATTGATCGCTCCACTTACACAGATTACACTAGCTATAAATATCAGTCCAAGAGAAGCTGACACACATCCCAGCTCACGTAAGAAGAACCCTGTCAAGAAATCTGGAAATCAAGCCACCCCCAAAAAAGCGTTCTGTCAGGCAAGCACACCAAACAGCAGCCTGAGGCTTTTTATTTTTCCAAGTCAAACTCAAAATAGATTTCAATTCTCCAGCTGATGGGTCTCACCCGCCGCCTTGTGAACCTAAAAGCTAAGAGCAGAATACACCGCCTGCTCCCTTTACACAGGAACAGGATCTATTTTGCACATGCTTATTTAAGATGCTGGGCGAGTGTGGTTTTGGTTAATCCTCACAACCCCCGCACTGACATTTAATCGGAAGACTTATTTTCTTTAGAGGACTTAGTTACTTGTAAAGATATCTTTGTGCTTTTAATTCACTGTTTCATAGATAGAGGGGGAAAAAACTCTACTTTCATGGTATTTTATTTATGTACCACCAGACACCCTCAAGCGGGATCGGATCTCAGAAAACAGGACCATCTCAGACAACGATCAAAGGATAAAGGACACTCATCAAGGAACGAGGCCATTTAGAGAGGGTTAAAGCCATCTCATTTCCCTGCCTGGAAGGAAAAAGTTTGGCAGCTGGAGGAATGGGTTCTGTGTCCCCGTAGGTTAGTCGCCTATCCTCATGACTTGCCGCTCCTTATTCTGCTCAAAGACCAAGCCTCCTTCTGTTAACAGTCGTGCCGTAATCCCCCTCTCCAAGGCAGCAGACCCTTTGGGTACAGTCACCCCCCACCTTAACATGTCTTTCTCTTCCCAACACTTGTCACCAGCTGTAATGATCCATATATGAGTGTCTGTGCTACGCCAAGCCTCTCTGGGGGGAGGGTAGGTCTACCGTAGCGTTCAACACACACCATCTCCAGTGCCTAGCGCCGAACAGACTTCAACTCACGTCCAACAAATGAATGGACAGGAAAGGGTAAGGGGGCTGTCATCCTGGGGCCTCCACGACCGCACCCCGAGGCCAGAGCAAAGGAAATGTGCCGGGGGTGGGGTAGGGTGTCGGCGAGCTCACCTCCCTCCCCGGGAGACAAAGGAAGAGGGCCTGAGGTGGTCCGGTCCAGACAAGGAAGCAGCGGGGGTGTGGACCAGTTGGGACAAAGGGTGTCTGGGCCATGTTGGGGTCGGGGTGGGGTGGGAGCTCGGGAGAGGACACGAACCGCGGAGAGATGCAAGCGAGTGGGGGTGGGTGCGTGAGCCCCGACCGGGGTCTAGACGGCGCGACAGGGGTCTCCTGCGCCCAGAGGACTGGGGAGGCTGCGCGGCCTAGGGGCCCCGGCTCCGCACCTGGTAAATGGCCGCCCAGTTCCCGGCCTTGTCGATCTCTTCGAACTCCTTCTCCATCTCCATGGCGGGCCGGGCCGGCTGCCCGCGTCCGTTCGGCCGTCCGCCGCGCTAGGCCGTGTCGCTCCGCTCCCCGAGGCCCGCCGCCCGCCGCCACCGCAGCCCCAGCCTCCCCAGCCGCGGCTTCTGCATGTCAAGCCGGCAGCCGGAAGTACGCACCCCGCCTCGCCGAAAGCTCCGCCCTCAGCACGGAAGGACCAATCAGATTGCGAGAAGACCCACCGGCACTTCCGCGGGGGCGGGGCCAGGGCGGAGTTTAGTGGAAGAGGCCTGGGCCAGAAGGAATGACCCGGTGCGCGCGCCGCTTGCGGTTTCCCGGGTTCCGCGCTCCGGAGGGCGCGCACCCGTTGCCCAGGCGACCCCCGGCGGCGCGCCCATAGCGCGTGGGCCGAGGCGGGTTTGGAGTGATCGCGAGTTCGAGGCTCAAGTCTGTCGGTGGAGTCATGCGTCGAAGGCGTGGCAGTTTGGGGGCGGGGGCGGCATTTCCTGTCCCATTCTTTCTGTTTTGTGTTTTTTTTTCCAGGGTTCCTCTGCTATTCCCGGGCTGTCCTGAAACTCGCGCTGTAGACCAGGCTGGACTCACAGAGGCCAGCCTGCCTCCCAAGTGCCGGGATTAAAGGAGTGTGACACCACTCTGGGCTCCCATCCTTATTTTTAACTCAGGGTCACACTATCCCAGGTTGGCCCCCTAACTTAATGCCAGCCAAGGAAAATCCTCCTGCCTCCACCTCCCACGCCTTGGAATCACAGGCATGTATTGCGGGGGATGGAATCAGAGCTCCGTGCGTGCTAGGACGCACTCAGCTTCTTGTTTGTTAAAGACTGTGAGTCACTCTGTAGCTGGCCTGGAATTCACTATGTAGCCCAGGCTGGCCTCTAGCCCAATGATCTGCCGGTCTTAAGTCTCCCAAGTTCCCTGTGTGTGCCTGCACCAGGCAGTCCACTTTTCTATCCAGGCAGAATAAATGAATGGGATCTGCGCTAGTTTTCTCTCCACAGTATCAAGAAAATCCTGGTTACATGTGGTGGTAGTTGCCTTTAAACCCAGCACTCCCGAGGTAGAGGCAAGGGGTCTCTGAGTTCCAGGCCAGCCTGGTCTACATGATGAGTTCCAGGACAACCAGAGTTACACAGTGAGACCTTGTCTCAAAACAAAAAGGAAAATCTTCCTTGAGGTGATGGTGGCTCACAAACAACTGTGACTGTGGTTTCAGGCCTCTTCTGCTCTCCAAGGGCACAAGGCATATGTGATACCATACATGCAAAGAAAGCATCCATACAAGTAAATCAAAAACATTAAAAAGAAGGAAATCTCCCTTACGAGCTCATCCAGGTGCAAATTCTCTGGTGTGTTCTGACTGCCCAGAGTGAATACTGAATGTTGATTCTGATACCTGGGCTCTTGGAAGTGTAAGAGAAGGGTGAGGTACCCTCCTCTGGGAAGCTTGACTGGAGCTGGGAATTGTTACCATGCACCCTGCGCTCAACACGTGACAGCAAGGAAGACTGTATTGGACCAGTACCCTGTGCCCAACACCAGCTAGCTTCTGGTGTGAAAGAGTGAATTCCAGCTTGCTCTTGGGATGCTGTGGTAGGCACCGTGCCCGGCATGCAAAGCCCCATTTTCACTTATTTCCCACAACTACCCTCTCATAGAGGCACTTTGATTCCCATCCTAGAGCTGTCAAGAGCGATGCACAGACACAAGTCTCTCATCCAAGGCAGTGCTGCCAAGTTAGGCTAGCAGCTGAACTTGCCTATAAGCCTAGGAGAAGCTAAGGCAGGTCAGCCTGGTTTACTTGGTGAGTTCCAGGTACAGAGTGAAAGACCTGTCTCAAAAAGTCATAAACAAAGCAGTCTTGCAAAAAAGGGAGAGGGACTGGATTCCAGCCAGACCTTCAGAGGGTCTCTTGCTTAGGAACCAGGTTTGGGGATGGGTGGGGGGGGACTCTGGTTCTAAAGTTCCATGGTGTAGCCTGGGGTGGATTCCTGATAAGCTCTGTATCTTGGTTTTCTCCATTGTGAAAGGGGGATAATAAAATGTGTCTACCTCAGGATGGGTGGATGGTGGCACTCACACTTAATCCCAGCACTTGGGAAGCACAGGCAGCTGGATCTCTGTGAGATCAAGGCCAGCCTGGTCTACAGAGCCAGTTCTAGGACAACTGGAGCTATACAAAGAACCCCTTCTCCCCAAAAGAAATAAAGAAAAAGAGTGTCTACCTCATAAAAGGTGGATGAGTTCATCTAGTGTGCTTAGCAAGGGGGCTCGGTCATTATTTAAATATCATGTGGGTAGGCACACTACTTTTCTTCATAGCACACATGCAATTTGAAGTCCAAGGACAACTTTCCATAGTCTGTATTCTCCTTCTATTGTGTGAGACACAGGGATCGAACTCAGGTTGTCAGGCTTGGTAGCAAGCAGCCATATCCAGGGAGCCGTCTAGCCAGCCCGTTAATCCTTGCTGGATAAAGACAGATGACCTGATAAGCATCCGACTTAGAAACAGAGTGTTCCTGTAAGAGAAAATTAAAGTTGCTGTTCTGGTGAAAAATTAGGGCCCCACCCTTGGAGGCTGCCTGACTGAAGCGTTTGCCTATTTGAATGATTCTGAGTGGTGGTCTCCTCCCGTTCCTATGGGGTACACAACTGAGGAGTAGCCCCATAGAGGCTTTCACCCCTGTATGCAGAGCTCAGCAGATGAATGAATCAAGTGCCCACCCTGGTCCCAAGTGCTACTCAGGCCTGCTGGATGTCACCCAGTGGCTGGAGCCCTCGCCCCTGTCTTTTTCTGTCTTGCGTAGCCCAGGGTGGAGCCCAGGGGCCCACACGCTAGGCAGTATCTGTCTAACCCTGAGCTGCATACTCTTCCCCTCTTTGTGCTTTTTATTTGGCACACCTTCACTGAAGTGCCTCATCAGACCTTGAGACCTCCTGCCTCAGCCTCCTGAGTAGCTGAGATGAGAGGCCTGTGCCCCCAGGTCCAGTCATTGGCTGTTCACAAGGCCCCAGAGTTTGCTAGCATGGTGGCACGCCTTCTGATGTCCGAGGTCACTTCTCTGCTTCCATGTCCAACAGGCTGCCTTATTTCCACGTGGTCTCTCTGGCTCCTCCTATCTGACAAGCCTCCCTGTTTCGTTCTGTAAGAACACTTGTCATGTCAGGGGAGCTGGACGGTCTAAGAACACTTGTCATTGTGTCCCCAACTGATGTCGCCGGTCCAGTGATCCAGCTCCCCATCCCAGCCTCCTAAGTCAACGACAGGCAAAACTATTTTCCCAAATAAGGTCACATGGGTGATGGGACTTCTTAGAGGCCCCACTTAACCCCCTGAAGTGGCAGACGATGACGCCCCATCAGCAATCTTAACCCTGGAGGAGAGGCTGAGCCTCTGGGTGCCTCACATCCACTCCGAACATCAGCACCCGAGATGCTCGCACCTTCCTGATGACAACGCTGCGAGGCTTTCTCATTCTACTTAGGAGAAACCCTGGCCTAGAGCCCGAGAGGTGGCTTTGCGTTTAGGAGCACTTATTGCTCTGACAGAGGAACCCCATTCAGTTCCCAGCCACCACATAGTGGCTCACAACTACCAGTAATTACAGTGCTGCAGGCTCCCATGCCTCTTCAGGCACACACACACACAGACAGACACACACACACACACACACACACACACTTAATGTGTGCATATAGATAAAAGAATAGCTGGACAGTGGTGGTGCACTCTGTTAATCCCAGAACTTAGGAGGCAGAGGCAGGCAGATCTCTGTGAGTTCCAGGTTAGCCTGGTCTACAAAGTGAGTTCCAGGACAGACTCCAAAACAATACAGAGAAACCCTCTTTTGAGCCTGGACACATAGGGGAGGGCCTAGGCCCTGCCCGGGATGTTACGACAGACTTTGAAAATCCCCTATGGAAGGGGATGGGGTAGAGGGGTAGGGAGGAGCTGGGGGGAGGGGACAGAGAGGGAGCTGGGAGTAACATGTGAAATTTTTTTATACATTTCTTTTTATTTCAAAAAATAAAAAAGAATTTTTTTAAAAACCTGTTTTGAAAAAGAAAAATGAAAATGAAAAAAGAGTAACGGTCCATCCCTAGCTCGGGTTGTCATGCCCCGGTGACCATGGTGACCTGACCCATCTGCCTCCCAACCCTCTCTCTCCATTGCCTGCTTCACGCCATTCTGGGTCCCTTGCCAGTACACCTGGCTGGTTCCCACCACAGGAGCGTTGTGCCACCCAGCCCTGACCAGGACTCTCTGTTTATCCTCTCTCCCTTCAGTTCTCAAGCCGAGTGTCACCTCCCCAAGCAGGTCTCCTGACCGCAGCTAATGCCTCCTGTCATCCTCTGCTGCTCCTGTTTTATTTGCTGGCTTGTCCCCTGGCAGTGCTGTCTCTTTAGGGTGGAACCTCTCTTTTTCCCGTCCCAGCATCTGACCTTTGCTGGAAAGAGAGACTTCAGTGACCCTAAGTGTCAACTTTTCCCGAAGCCTTGTGGACAAAGCTGGCCCTGCCAACCTAATGATGGTGGTGGCTGATTAGAAAGTAAACGAGGCCAGTGTCACCGTGGCTAAATTAGTTTCTGGTCAGGCAAGCCCGTGAAGTGCTCCAATGTTCTCACTCGGGTTCTTGGATTTCTCTTCGCAGATCCCACTAAGGGAAGAAATTAACACTGCAAGTCAACCTTTTAATCATTCCAGGACTTGTGGGTAGAGCAGGGCAGCTGTTTTTGAAGCATGGGGTTGTTGCTGGCCCCTGACTGAGCGAGGTCAGCAAGTGGCCTTGACAGTAGTGGCATTGGCCTACCAGGAGTACAGCGTAGAGCTTGGGATCCAAAGTAACAGTCAAGCTCTAATGTTGCTTCATCTGGGAGGTCCCTACTCCTTTCCCCTCTCCTGACAGCTGACACCCCCGTCCCTTCACTACGTGCCATGACTTGATGTGTTTGTCATCATCCCTTGGCCACTGACTGTAAACTTTGTGAATAAGTGGGCCTGAGTTGTGTTGCCCAACACCATCTTCCTTGAGCTGGAAGTCGGCAAGTCATTCTTCCCAAACCCCCACCAGTCCTTGGAAGGTTCTAGAATTCAGGATGACAAGGACTTCTTTGCCTCTCCTAGACTGAGCCC